AAAACGTCCACTGAATCCATTAAGTTATCTTATGATAAGAGATCTACTAAAGTCAGCTTTGTACCAGGAGACAAGGTGTGGTTGTATAATCCCAGGAAGACCAACGGGAAGTCTCCTAAGTTGTCTTCTCCAGGGGAAGGTCCATATGACATAGTGGATCGTCTCTCAGACGTGACTTTCCGGATAAAATGTGGTCGATGAGGTAAGCCAAAGGTGGCGCATGGCAACAGGCTTTGGTGTTATCACATTCAAGGACATTTCAGTTGGAATGAAGTGAACAATGAAACAAATGACGCTGCTGAAGACGTGCCACCTGAAAAAGCCACTGTCGAAGAAGAAACTCTACCTGGTTTAGAGAAGGGAAACAGTGAAGTCCTTGATGAAGGTACCACCACTGATGTGACTGCGAATCTCCGTATTTACCAGGCACCCTCTTTTTTAGTATAACTGAGGTGTTTTTACACCAATGAGTACTTTACAACAGTTATGTCCTGTTGTCTAAAAATGATGCTCTGCACTTAGGGATTGTGGATGCATTATAAAAGTGATGGTTAAATCCCACTGTTTAATTAAAGTAGTAAAAATTAGGAATAGATGCTTTTCACTAGCTGTCTTCTTTCTACAATATTCATTGAAAGCTAGGTGTGGCTAATACAGATATTCTCTGTGTAGCTTAGCTTACTGTCCAAAATGAGCAAGTTATTGTTATGTATCTGCTCGTTTGTTAATATCCCGTAGAAATTCTTTCCAAGAAACTTCGGCAATACAAGTCCTTTTTTGATTAAAACAAGTTTATTCTTTATCGATACAACCTTTTGTAATACACAGAATTTCCATATTCACTTTAAACTTAACAACCTTTATAACACGCTACAAATCACAGCGATTCATACAATTTACTTACGGTGCTTACTGTTCGCTTGACTCAATTATCTATCTCATTAATCCCACTGGTTTTTCCCACCAGGCTTATATACTAAAAAGAGGGCATCTCGATTGCACTCGGGCCTTCATGATCATTATGCAACTTCCACTGTCTTAATAGTAAACACCTGTATCTATTTAAATTTTATTGTTATATTGCACTTAGAACCATGTCTATCTAATAATCCTGATATAAAATTTGTTAAACACTCAGTAAATGTGTAGCTTACATTACTGTATCCAATTGTGTAACATACGAGCTGCTTGCACACATATCTTGTGAAGAAGTTTTATTACAGTTATATATATATATATGTGTGTGTGTGTATATATACACATATTTTTCTCTTCCCTAATTAAACCTAATAAGTTTATAATTTTTACACTTTAGTTACTATAGCTTATCAGCATCAAGGCATTATATATCTACTTTATAAATGTTTATTCACTCACTCACTGAAACATTTCTCAGCTAATCTTTTGTGTCTGATGGATGAAGTATACATAAATTTTCTTCTTATGTGTTAAGTGGGGTAAATGTCCAGAGAAAATGTTGTCCATGCTGTTGTTCTCATTTAGTTTGTGATACAACGTGTTTAATTTCAATATGTGGATAATGGAAACAAGTGTTTTGTCTACTAAACATCAACTCTGGTATTCATATTTCAAACCTTAAGCGACACATGGGTAAAATAGCCAGATCTCACACTCGTAAGGTTCAGGTATAGCCATCCTTAATTTTCAACTGTCTAACAGAATGAGAGAAACTAGTCAGCAGT